ATGATGGCTGCTTTGCATTGTTGAGGGTGTAAGAAGGACCTAAATTCCTCCTCCGCAGAGCTCTCAGCTGCTGATGAAGTCAGTTCTGCATTAATCCCTCAGCACACTCCTTGTCAGGCCAATTTCTGATCAAAGCTTTTCTTGCCACTGCAGTCATAATTGCAACTCTGCCCAGTTTGAGAAAGGGACATAGTCTGAATGTCAGTAGGAGAAAGGACTAGACTTAGGCAACACCAAGAATCTTCTGAAGTAAGAAAATAAAACAAAATCACCTTGCAGAAGGACCAATTAGTCCTGAATCAAGTTTTGGAGTTTTCACGTTGGGGTTTGTGGCCCTAGTCCTCTGGTACCTGTGTTTGATACGCTGGGTCTCAGCAGCCCCCTGGCATTGCCCATCAGTGCACAGTGCACAGCCACTTCTGGAGACTTAGCCATGCACAGACTCAACCAAGACACGGAAAAACAGGCACAGCGAAGCAGCATTGCTCCTACCAAGTCAAAGCCTGGACTAGCACTCAAGCTTTCTGAAGCTCAGACTTAATTTCGAGGAGTGGATCAATGCAGGTATGTGGGTACAACCCACTGCATTGGTTTGCATTAGTGAGTACCAACAGATCCAAGCTCTCTCTGTCCACACCACCCTCAGCAGTGGAAGTAAAAGGCATTCATGTGGCTCTGTACTCACGCTGGGATCCTGTATTTACAGTCTGGCTCTGCAGCCACACCTGAAATGGTTAGTCTGGGTAGTGCTGCAATGCACCCTGACATCTTCTTGCTGAGGTCTCCCCAGCCTGGGCAACAAAACACAGATGTAAGCATATGCCCAGTTAGGGTCTTTTTGCACTGCAGGATCAAACTGTTGAAGCGCTTTAAACATCTCAGCAAACAGCTGTGACAGAAGGTCCCTCCATCCCAGACAGGCTGCTCTCCTGGCAAAGGAGGGCCCCAATGTTGTGTGGGTCTGGTTGCATAGTATGAAAAAAATGCCAACCAGATTCAGAAATACATCTATATCTAGCAACAACCTACATTTGGACAGTGCAGGAAGAAAATACAACCTCACACTTTCAATTACAGCCCACCTCTTAAATTAGGCAATCCTAGCCCTTACCAATGATGTCCTTTCTCCCCTCTTTTTACACTTTTTATGTCCTCATATTATTGCTCACAGGAAACATCCATTTTCAAGCATGGTATTTCCCTTTCTGATAAAATGCAGCAGGAGGTTCCACAGGTTAATTATAAATTGGTTTAAAAAACATTTACCAAGAAGTGTTTTAAATCCATTTCCCGTAATTTCATTTGATGCAGCATATGTCTTGCAGTGCAAAGGGGAGATGTGGCTTTATTGCCACTATCTGCCAGATGAACATGTTCATCATCAACAGTGCAGGGAGTGATAAGTCCCTTATCTGATACAGAGAGACAAAACACTCCCTCTTTCTTATCAACAAATTGAGTTATCAGCCAAGTGAAGTAGTTTTTCAGTAGCCTTTCTGACTGCGTTTTGCTTTTAAATCCATACTGGCAGCAAATGTTCATGGATGTATTTACCTCCCATGCTCATTTCAAAATGCAGCAGCAGCCACAGATAAGAATGCTTCATCTCCCCAAGACATCTGGTCGGAGTGCTGTTAGACAGTGCTGAATTTGCTCTGACTGCTGGTAAACTAAACTCCACCAAAAGTAACAAAAATGATGCTAAAACAGCGATACAAAGAGCTTAGAGGAACACAGAAGCTGTAACACAGCATGACCAAAGCCTGCCGACGTGACCATCGCTGATGGCTTAGGCCACGCTTCTCAGTGGTATCCGTTACTTGTGGGTGCCTGGCCTGAGACAGTTAGGACCCAGAAACCTTGGAATGTGCAAGCCCTGATCTAGCCAAGGTAACGCTTTTGCTGTACCTGGCAACGTACGCCCAAATGCATTCAGAATTAACTGCACAGCATAATAAAGCTAGGGAGAGGTTAGGGTTATCAGCCGCATGACATTATTAGGAGACTGTAACAGCTGAATGCATGAAGAGGTTTTTAGGTGTGAAGAATTAGAAACCATCTGGTGCCTTTTTAGGACTCAGTTTGACAGTATGTTCCCCACTGGCCTGCTCTGTGCTGTGAGCAGCTACTCCGAAAGGCTTTGCATGGAGTACTACCCATGAGAAAGGTGTCAGCTTCACACTAACTTGAGCAGAGGGTGATTGCGCTCAGTCGTTGGTACGTATTTCTCAGTGCTAGAGTCAGTATCGTTTTGGTTGAATGTGGCTGGAAAGTTAACTTCATTGAGATACCACTGGAAAGGATTTGTCCTTGACTGCAGAGGCCAACTGTGCTCATTCCCAGGTCACCAACGTAATTTTTAAATGTGACGGTTCTCTTCCATAAACCAGCCCCGAGAAGGCGTGACTTGACAGCAGAAACTCATGGAGGGCAGACAGACACCTGAAGTGAGAAATGTGTCTTGTAAATACCTACAAACTCCCTGCTACAAGCTCATCTTCCTCCCTCCCATAAAGACATGATCAAACAGGAGCTCCAAGATTAATATAAGGGTTGATGACAAGAACATCATCATTTCACTTGCTGAGCAAGACAAGCAAAACCCATGAGCGCTCCTGAGCTTGCTCAGCAGGGAGCCAGACAAGGGAGCTCAGACAACCTTCACCAACAGCTTGAACCAGAGCTCTGGACTTTGTGTTGGTTCAGTTGGGTAGATTGCATACACACTTCCACTGGCCCCAAAAAATCAAATACAGCCACCTAAGAGCTGCAACAAGGCCAGTAATACCTCCAGTCTCCACTGTTTTCCAAAGCCCATACATATCTACTTTTTTAGAGATTCTCCCTCTATGGGGTTACTTTCTTTCCCAGAATGTTTTCCTGTGGCTGAACCTGTTAATTTGGTAGCAATCAGATGCCTCATCTTTAAAGCAGCTATTTTGCAACCACCTGCATTATTCCTGGAAGGGTTGTATCCTCTCACCTGTTCGTAGACGGGAGAGGATTGTTGGATATTAATTCTCAAAGAGACAAGAGATAGTTATAATAATGGCCCAGCTGACAATAGTTTCAATAGTTTCCAGCCTTGCTGTCAGCTGACACATTCCTTCCTCCAGATAATATCTGATACGCTCAGATATTTCTGAAGCTGTGCCTCCACAGGACGTGCCGTAAGAACTAACTACAGTGAGCTCCGTGCTCCTCTGCTTTCATACCAAACCTGCGAGGAAGCTGCTGCAAGAGGGGTTGTTTATTTTTCTTGACCATTAATAAGAAACCTGCCTAATAACTTCCAATCCTTCCCCGCTTTCCAACCACGATGGGGCTCTGGAGCTCCTTCCCACTGGGTGCCCAGGCTCTGCAGACCCCCTCGGCGTCACAGCAAAGCGCGGGGGGACTCTCTGCACTCGCGGGTGCAATATGGAAGTGGCTCCACATACATGGGTAGGCAGAAAGGCTCGTTCCTGCTGCCTCACGTGTGGTGTTCTGTCTTGTGCAGGGCAGAGAACGGGGAGCATTGCTCAGAAACTCTCACCTGCCAACTTGGAAGGGCTGGAGCAATGCAATGGAGAGGCTCTGATCCCATCCTAGCTCTAAAGACTAAGGCTTTTAAAATTAAAGAAAGTCTTGACAGTGTTGGTACCTGAAAGGATCATTAAGTAGTTGCAAATAGCCATAATACTTTAAAGAGGACTTAATCAAGCAGAGCTGGGACGTCTTGACAATCTGATAATTGCAGCATAAAATTCAGAGAATGTGGAGGCCTTGGGAATGCATGACTGGCCTTTTGGGGCTGATTGTTCTGAAACAGCTCTTCTTTTTCTTTTTGAAGAGAAATTTAAATTACCCAGACTTTCAAAAATAACTGTTTATCTTTCACAAGAGCCTTGAAGATCTCCTTATTTATCATGCACTTAAATCAGTGCAGATTTCCTGTAATTCACTATTAATCCACAGCTGGACAAAACTCTCTTCTATCAAGGAATGCCAAAACTACCGGTGTTAGCTCGGTACCTCCCAGTTGCCCATGTCAAAAGGTGTTAATTTGTGTAGGAAGGGCTGATTCAAACTCGACTCCTATTTTTGGGTTGCTTCAATGGGACTTAGATTAGTTTACAGGTAGTGTATTTAAAAATAGCTAGCATTAAGTAGCTGGTATTGAGATTTTAAAATAGCTGTATATGCATCTGAATGGGTTTATTTTATATAGTTAAGAATAAACTAATCAAGGGCTGCCCTGTTTGAAAACAAACTAAAATTTGATACCCAAACTGTGATGGTTTGAAAGAACTGCAAAGTGAAACTGTCTGTAAACAAATTAAGAGCTGTGGTAATTTTACCCTGAAGCAAAAAAGAAAAAGGCTGCACATGATGGAAAGACCAAAGCTGGTGAAAAGGATTTCATTCTTTGTAGTCAGAAAAGTTAGTTACATTACAATAAAGATATTTTCCTGTGTTTCACTCCTGATGCTATCTTCTATTTTACAATCGCAAAGAATAGGATAAAGCAGGACAAATACATACTGATACATACCTGTGTGATGCCAGACCGCCTTTAAAAACAGCTAATGTTTTAGTTTCACTAAAGATGTGATTTCTTATGCACCGTCAGATTAAAAAATCAACTATGAAGCAGGGTCAACCTCTAAAATGTTTGGGTTTAACAATCAAAAAATGAAAAAAAATAAAAGTCCTAACTCTAGAACCTGGGCATGATAGTTTCAAATCTCCTTTGGTTTGGGCTGAAGACTGGTGTTTGCAGCCCAAGCCAGAGGAGAAGTTCAGGCTCTGTCCTAATTCTCCTGATGACAAAACCTACTTTTCTGGGATATCAGTGGGTTTCTGTGAGAGATGTGGTACTCACCACAGTGCTGGGGGATTAATTTAATATCAGCATAACACTTTCTTTCCCCGGTCCTCTCCCCATTTAGTTTTCTTCTATTTCCTTCTGTGTCTTTCCTTTTTCCTGTTGGCAATGAATGTTCTGAATTTTTCCATAGTGAGTATCGGGCTGGCAGCTTACGAGAAGCATGGTACAGAGGAAGAAGCTGCCACGTTTGCTGCAGGCACTCTTGGGCACATAGCTAAGAGCATGCGGGAATGTAAAATAATTACAGCAGATGCCACTTTCAGTGACCCCATGACATCACTTTCTGAAGGTGGACATCCACAAGGTGAGGATGCACAGCCTTGGCTTCCAAGAGCAGGCGAGAGTTTAGGATTTGATATGCGCTACTGCTGGTTTAAAACTAGCACTATTTTATTTTGTTTTATTTTATTTTGGTTTGGTTTATTTTATTTTATTTTATATTATTTTATGATACTGTTGCGATCCTCACATTCATATTTACTGATGACACATCATCTACAAAACCTGTTGTTTTCTTCTGCAGACTGTATTATCATTCAAAAGACTTGTAGCCCACAGCTGGGGCTGCTATACTGGGCTCGCAATGATGGAAACTGCAGTGGCGCTGGTCCCTCAATGTCTTTGACAGGAGGTGTATTTTGGTCTCTGTTTTTCACCACGGTACCCAGACAAGGACAGTGGCCCTCCCAGATGTCTGCATTTCTCCTTTGTGCTGGGGAATTCCGTTGAGAAGGTACTTGTTAGTGCAGCATACGAGTCTTCCTGAGCCTGGAAGAAAGGGGTAGGAAGATGTTATTAATTTAGCCAATACTGTGCAGCTTGCAGAAACACTGTCAGCTTCTGCCTACACACATCTCACCTCCCATTGTTAGAGAAATTACAGCTGCTGAAAGACATGAAAAAGTAACACATTTCTGGTTTTTATAGTAATAAGGCAAATCCGATTCTTCTTGCCCCTGTAGTGTGGGCCTGCTTTTTGGACCGGGGTCCTTTGGGCGACTGGGGAAGCTGTGGAGACATGATTCCCTGCACAGGTGCTATCAGATGCACATAGGTGCGCTAAACCTATTTTAATGGCTCTGAGTGCAAGGACCACATTTATTTGGGTAAATCTCTCATTGGGTGAACTCTCTCACTCCTAACAAGGACTTAGGACTTTCCAGGACTAATTAATATCTAGTTAGTACTTTCCTGTTTCTCACTGGTGGAAAACCAGCAACCTGCAACGCTGTGGAGAGGTCAAGTGAAAATTTCAGCAGAAATTTCTGAAGATAGCTACGCGTTCATGGTGAGCCTACAATTATTAGATGGCTTCTTGTCCACTGAAAAAGAAATTGCAGGTGTCTCCTGAAAATAAACCATGCAGTAGGTGGCATAGGCACGCATAACACTACGCTTTGTCTCAGGGGTTTCCAGACGCAGAGAGGTGCGAGAGCTTTTTCCACCATCTCCACTTCTCTCTCAGGTTTTGCTTTCGTTTCTGCTTCTCGCAGGTTCCCACTCTGCCATCACACATAAATTCCACCCAGGCTCCCGGCTCAGCCCCCTCCCGTTTCCTATTTATCACTAAACCCCCCATGCCAAAACAATCACATTGACTGTGCTGTCTCCTTAATGTTATACTTGTGTATTTATTCTTTCCGTATAACAGCTATTTTGTCAAAATGGCCTTTTTACTGGAGATTTATACTTATTGCTTTCGTACCGTGCCTGTGTTCTTTTACAGCTGGGGTTGGACGTAAGAAATCAGAGGGAAATGTCTTTCCTCATCCCCGCTAAAACTGCCACGTAAGAGCTGCACTGGTACACCTCGGAGCTGGCACCCCAAGAAAAAGGGAATTGACTTACAGTCTGCATGAGATCTGAAGAAACCCTGTAGAATATTTTAAAGCCTGTTTCCTCTGAAGGCTGTATTGTTTCAATAGCACTTTTCTTCCAATCCTCCTTTCCTGTTTTTCCATTCATGTGAACACAGGGTATTTTAAGAGTCCATCTGCTCACGTTACTTATTCCTCACTTCAAGTCATAATCCTCTGTGATACTACAGTTAATTGCTCTGCCTATGATTATATTGCAATCATGAATGGGATTACGATTTTCAACCCTATCCGTACTGGAGTAATTTCAAAATATTTCTACTGTCACCAGCTCCGGCTGAACTTCAATGGCTTTTACAATTTTGAGGACATTTATTGCCTATCTGGCTATCCTGATGCTGTACTTAAATAGATAAAAGTGCCCACGCTGCGTTTTACACTAGTTGTAACTAGATTAATTCAGATCTTGCACCTTTCTGGCTGAGTTCAGGCCTGCCTTTAGTCACGTTATTTCCATTCACAGCAGCAAGGTCTACTATAGACAGAGGGTGATGTTTTTTAAAAATAGCATGCTGTATTTTAAGCTATCTCTGAGCGGGGGTAAATCTGATTCTGGAAATGTCACTAGGTGAAGCATCTGCATCATGACTATACATGGTTGTTTTATCACCCTTTCTGCGTAAAACTGTCCCTCCTTTACCAACAGGGCATGGGATGGGAGAAAACGGTCCAAATTTCACTCGCGGCCCTCTGCTCCGTGACGAGTTTGATGCTCGCAAAGAAACGCTGCCCAGCAAAAATGGGGGACGAAAAAAAAAAAAAAAAGG